AGGCATTGTTTTGCTGAAAGCAACACAAAATTTCCTTTTCCTTCCCCATAAATTTGGAGTTACTTACAATGGTCTGAAACACCTCTGCATACGTCTCAGAGCAGACACAAAAGCTTAACTTTGTAGTTAAGTTTGGAGTTAATTTTGGAAGAACTCGGACTATTTTCAATTGAAAGGAAAGGCAAAAAAACACAAATGATACACAACAGTAACTCTAATTTGAGGAATTAAAAAAAATCTTCAGGTGGCAATTCAAACAATTTGCTGTAAAGACCAATAGTTGAAAAGACTGGACACAGTTTTAATTCACTTGCTCTACTCAACCCCTTGTCCAATTGAAAATAAGGTATTAGATGTGTATCACACACTCAGGAATATTAAAAGCATTAAAGATTGTATGGAGGAAAACAAATGTAAATGTTTTATATAATTTTTCACTTTAAAAAATAATGCAAAATTTTATTATAAACATCTGTATCATCTGTGTATAGATTTCTTATATAATTGCCTATCAAGACACACATAATAGGAAAGTGAAATAATTCACAGTTCCAGTACAATTTAAAGATCAAACAGCATCACATACAAGTCTCTTATAGTACAGTAATAACAAATGTTATGTATGTGGAAATAATGTATGGAGCACTTCCTCATGAGTGTCCATTGTTACAGTAAAAAAAATAGAGCTATACCGTACAGAACATGCGCTACAGAATTATTGTAAGAATGCCTAAGGCACTAAAGGAGTTGAGACAGAGGCAAAGAAATATTGCATTCAAGGCTAAATCCATTATTGCAATGACAAATACATAAAATGACATTGGAATTTGATTCTGATTAGCAACAAAAGCAGAGCTTAATGTGACAGGACCTCTTGACAAAGGTTTGAGGAAGCAATGAATGACTCACTGCAAACAGAACCAGAACACCATTGTTTAGAAAGTGGCGAGCTAGAAGACAGTGTATTGTTTTTAATCCCCATCTACTCCAAAGGGACAGCACCAATGAAGTATAATTAACTAAAAGTGACACTAAATACACAGAAATGACAGCTGTGACAGAAAAAGTCTTATATCATAATATCTGTGTGATATGAACATTAAAATGTTTTACTCAACTATAAAATGTATCAACACGGTTCCAGATAATAACCAAATATTTAACAGGTCAGTGTTCTAAGTCATTTTAATCTACTTTCTTAATTTTAAGCATTGGGAAACTCTTTAACTGTTTTAATATGGACTATTTATAGCTCTGAATGAGTCATGGTAAAAAAATCTCTCCTGGCTAAACTATAGATGGTATTGAACTCTTTTCAATGCCATCTTAAAAATTTCCCTTCACTTCCCTTTTCATGAAAACACTAATTCCTCTATTTCCACAGTATAAACCTATATATTTTAATGTTCCCATAACATTAGCAAAAAGTCCTACCTATCCTCAGGAAGATCTTATTGATTTGTTAACTTATTGACAAGTGAACAGATCTCATTTGCACAGAGATTCTTACTAGAATTACAATGTTCAAATATCAACTTTACTCAAGTAACACAAAAGGAGGCTGAGGAGGAAACTTGATAGACTACAGCAATACAGTCGAAATCCTGGTCCTGGAGGGCTGGTATGTCTGCTGGATTTCAAGCTCTCATTAAAGCAGCAGCAGAGCTGGGAGAAGAAGCTAGACTGGTCCAAATAAGACAGAAACTGACTGATTTACTCTGTTAAGAAGTACACAAGAATTAAAACCTACTGATTCAAAGGCACCCCATGAACATTTTCGGACATCTCTGACTATACTTACACAAATCAAGCCTTTAAAATATGGGAGAAGCTTTGCTAGAGTATATACGTGGTAATACTTTGGCTACAGAATTCTGCCAGCGTGTCAGTCAGCTCCGTCACAACATCCTTTGAAGATTCTTTTAATCAAAATACATAGAGAGGTGCACCTATAAAAAATTGAGGTCAGAAGAAGAAAATACGTGGTTTAAAAATAAATCCTCTCTGGTAATTGAAATGCAGTCTGTCTGTGTATGTCAATGCTGTCATTGCGAAAATGGAAACAGATAAAGTCTTTGTTTCAGATGTCAGCCTTTTCTTTTTTAAACATTCATCTGCTGTAGCTTGCATTATCAGAATACAAGATATCCAAAAGTATTCACTGAATCTGAAATTTCTGGACGAGATAGCAAGATGGAAAAAGGCGTGCTAATGGCTGCTACGCCTCTGTCACTATTAATAAACAAAGAACTGTGTATCTACAGCGATGCAGTGTGTTCAATTTGTGTCAAATGTCGCATTGTGTTTTTAGAGGAAGTAATTTGATGTAGTCTGTGTTGTTTCTTCCACACATTAATCAGCCTTGAGCTCACTTTATTCCAACCCTCTGTAACCTTAGGGTTCCACCTGTTCCACAGCTTTGAGCAAATAGATGTGGCAGGTTAAAGGTCATGGTATCACATGACTGTCTTAGAATTTAGCGCTCAATGTCAGTTACCAATACAACTTTTAAAAAACGTAGGGAAAATCTACTAATGACAACGATACATTTATGAAACTTCAATGCCAGTCCTAATGCTTGATATTTGAGATCTAAACCCAAATTAACACAGTTAAACTAAAGGAAACCAACATTTAATCAAAATATCATGAACATAACAACAAAGACAATTTTATGTGTTCAAATAGGGTATACACATTTTTTTTAAGTATCCTTCACTTTTATGTATGGAAAAAGAAAATCCTTATTGTTCTTTAAGCTCTTAGCTTATCAGAAAAGATGCAAAGTCTACAATGTAAGCTACAGATAATATTTAGACAGTGACGGCAATATCAGTAAATTAAAATTATGCTAATGTCCACAGGAGGGAACTAAAAATTACAAAGCTTTTAAATGCCAATGCAGAATCAGAAAACCAACAGCTGCCAAGTGAATCTTTTTGACACTGAAAAAACAAACTGGCACAACAACTAAAACATGTTACAGATATGTCTCTGACCAAGTATGTGAAACGAGACCAAAAGCAGGTTAAATCTCACTCCAGGCTTCACACCAGGACGTTGGCAGTGAGGACTGATGGCCTAGATGGCAAAATCTGGCTCCAGGCCTTGAGAGCAGTGACTGCCAGAGTCAGCAACACAAAAGGGTTTATTTGCAACTTAGACTGAGCAGTGTGAATGATAACAGCAGAGTGGAGCAATGGTTAGTGCTCACAGGGCAGTGGGTTCAAACCTGTGGTGAGACTCTGTTATTGTATCGTTGAGCACGGTACTTCCCTCAGATTTCTCCAGTTAATCCCCTGCTGTACAAAAGGACACTCTCCAGATTATCACCGTACATGAGAATTCCCAATTTACTTTCCTGACTAAATCATAATTATTATTTTTATAGCTTCTCAAAACATTTTACAGAATGACAACAATAAATACACAAGATATGCACAATGAGAATACACAACGAGAGGAGATAGTAGATGGGGAAACTGAATTCAGCAGGAGCAAAGGGGTAAATAACAGAACCAGTTAATTAAAAGCCCTTCTAAAGAAGGTTTAGAGTCTAGATTTGCAGGAGTTTAGGAAAGGTGACTCCGATGTCCATAGGGATAGAGTTCCAGAACTTTGGGACACAACAGGAGAAGGCCCTGACACCCACAGAGTGTAGATGGACTTGGGGGACAAACAGGAGAATTAGAAGAGCGAAGGTTGCAAGGTGGGGAGTAAAATGATAGTAGATAGCAAATAAAATATTAAACACTGACACACTGAAAGTTGATTAAATCATGGTTGTGAAGGAAAAAAAACTATACAAGTTTACAATGTCAGCATTTAAACATTTTTTAGCATTGTTTTTTTAATGTTCTTATAATGTTCTTTACTACACACGACATCTGGTAATGTCTGAATTCCCAACCACCGTTTGTTCAACCTGCATTAGAAATAGGCAATGTATCATTATCGCCTTTTCCCTGTATACAGTATATTATGTTGTCTACTAAAATTGTCACCACTGTAGGCTGCATCGTTTATCTCGAATGTGAGTTATTGAGAAACCCTCAATAATACAATAACACAATATAATATAATACAAACATTCTAGATTAACGTAATGCCCACACACATCATCATAGTCGAGCAAACATCAAACATCATTAGAAATTTAATCTTCTATCCTTCTGAAGGTTCTTAGTATTGTAATAATCGCATTGTTATAATGAGATTATAACATGACTCGTTACAAAACAAGGCAAAACATTCAATTCCCAAATGTTTTTTAAAGAAATACTGTATAACATATTACTGTAAGATAAATCAAGGCTAACCGTCACAACCACTTGTCTTAGTGCATTTCAGACAAAATAACACTTTTTGTAAAAAATCACTCAACACAGGTCGTCGCGTAGTCGTCATTACTCTTTGAACAAGTTATTTTTGATATGGCATCGCGTAAAATGTGTTGTTTTATTACACTGACAAGCCAGTTTGAATAATAACGCTGCTCCGAGTGTTTATGCTCTAGGGTCTCGCCTCCCAGGACTCGGTACTGCGTTCTTTTCATTTGCGACCACAAAGTACACAACTTTGTAAAGTATCCAGGCAGCTTTTACAGTGCAGATGTCTCTTAAAACACGTATTTTCAGCACGACACTTTCCATAGAGGGTAAAAAGGCAGTTAAGTGTTTGTAAACAAATAATGGAATGTAACCTCTACCGCGGACCGTCTCTTAAGTAAAAGAAACAGCGGATAACATTTAGAATGACAACCGTCACAAAACAAAACATTGTTTTCTTTTGTTTTTTAATGGCAGGTCCGCTTGATTCAGAAAGAAACAAACGGCCAGGACAAAAATGTTGCTATGCCCATGAAAGATACGAAGCTCTTTCAATACAGACAGCGCAAACTCCCTCGCTTGTGTAACGTCCTGGTAGAAACTTTCCCTGTGCGAAAAGAAATGAGACTTGCACTGCCAGTTGGAAGATTATGTTATACTTTTATTTCTTACCTTTGGCGATTTCTTCCTCCAAGGATTTAGCCGTCTTCAACAATAATAATCCCGCACCTACGCAACTGTCGTTCAGCACAATCGCAGATTATGCTGTGATTTTAGCAACAATAATAATAATCACGCGTAGTCGATGCCTTCTTCCGAACAGCCACACTCACTCCCTACTGCCTGAACACAGCCGCAGCTCCTCCGGCTCCACGCACGGCGCGCACACACGCAGGGGAGGGCGGTGGCGCGCCTGAGACGAGAGTGCACGCTAGCACAGCGGTTACGCGCCTGCTGTAGAAGTGTCGTCCGGAATTCAAGTAGGCAATTTTGTTCCTGAGAAAAGACAGGGTGCGCGCTTCAGCAACAAGACTGAGCAGCTTACTCATACAACCCCATGTGAAAAAACACCACATATATATGTATATTTAAATCCTATAGTTTTTACTTGTGTCAATTGGTTCATGATTCATTGTTGATGCTGAATGAGTACTCTGGACTGAATTTGAATATCTGAAACAAAAATTTCTTCGTCATTTTCTCCATTCAAGGTTAAATTGACTTAGGTTTAGTTGGTGTTAGGTGTTTTTTCCATCCATGACTCGTGAATTTAACAATAATATATTTTTTTGTTACAAGATGGCAAAAATGGTATACTCATTTCTAAATAAAGTCTTACCATTGCACTGTAAAATCCTAACATGTTTGTATTCAATGTGTAAAATAATTCATATTTACATAGTGTCCAGCAACCACTTGGGTGACACATGGCAGCTATTGCACACCAACAGCCTCAATACAAGAGAAATCATGTAGACTTGTGAAGAAATGCTTTACTTTACTTCAAGACCAAGTAATCAGTATTGGGGACATTGCTTGGAAATTCTAGACTAGAGGTAACACAGCCACCATCACCTCCAGTCCACCAACATCACATACAACCTGGTCTCCCATCAATATTTTACATCTGGTGTTTGGTAGAACTATAAAATATTGCTGTCACCAGGATGCATGCTGAGTCAGTAATGCATTGTGCTGTGTTCGCATCAGATGTTCCACTTTGCATTTAGACCACAAAGTTCCAATTTTGTCTTTTCTGACCACAAAATCTTTTTTTCCACATGTTTGCAGTATCACCTAAATGCTTTAGTGACTGTGTGGTACCTTAAGGTAATTTTATGCACCTGAATTAATATTTTCAACAGGAATGAGTTTGAATACTTTTCAATACTTTTTCTGGTTTCCTTTCATATTAAAACATCTGTTTACTTCTTTTTTGTTTCTTGCTTTGAATGTGTGGAGTAGTTTGTGCAGTAATATTAATTGGTATTTCAAAGTGTCATGACTGTAAGCTTTAAAGCTACAAAATGTGAAAACTTGTCAAGGTCTGAATACTTTTCTTAGTCACCGTACATGAATTACCAGCTAATGTCTGCAATTAAAATATAATGATGGAATTTATTAAATAGCAACTTGAAAATCATTCTGCTGCTATAGTTAAGAACAATATGAATATTGATGCAAATACAAACAGCAGATTGTCTTTGTATGAAAAAAGTACAACAATACATTTAAGTTTTTTCTTCATTTTGCTTTTGTTAAGCATCATGAGAAACCAATGCCTACCTAAATATTGCCATTAAAGTTTACTTTACATTTGTACAGTTGTGCTAAGAAATGATGTAAGGAAACAGCATTTTAAACAAAAAGATCTTCTATTAAGAATTACTGTACCTTTATGACTTCAGTGAGACAGACGATGCTTATTTAGGTAAGACCAAAAGGATTTGAGTTTACCGTATTTAATGATTTACCTTTGACATCAATAGTATAGAGTACTACAATAAGCCTCCGAAATAAGGGGGTTAGGGTGGGAAGTTAAAGTTACAGTTATACTAGGTAGCTGTTATTTTGTGTTCTGAGATATTATAATCATGGACCTCTGACTGATAGTGCTATCTAAAAGCATATGTTTATGTGGGTCTAGTTTTAATAAATGATCCATTTCCTTTACAAACAGACAAGGACACATAACATTTTTTTAAGAACTAGATATCAACAATATAAAAACTGTTCTTAAAAGCTTTCTTGCCTATAAGAACTGGTATTACAACGTGCAAAGGATGGTTTCCTCTGTAGAAAAGATTAAACTCATTGCTATGTAGTATTAAGAATTCAACCTCATGCTTCATGCTCCATTGGACTGCAAATTATGTCGGTAAGGTTGCTGCAAATATCATAATGTGATAAGAGATTTCTGGTTAATGTGTTGTGAGAGTAAAAGGGGTGGCAGGTGAAGGGCGAGTGATTGTCAGAGTGTGTCCCAACATATTCCGTATACCATTTGCAACTAAAAATGAAGGTCTTTACCTCTTACCATTGAAAATTAAACTTGTGAGTCATTTTCCATTAATATAAGCTAACATTAATGACATTTACAAAGCAGGGCCTTTGTAATGATGCCCACTTGTTAAAGGAAGACAGATGCTTCAAAATGAACAAAGTAGAAGGCATCTCCTCAGCAAATCTAATCAAGTCTTCATATCAAGCATTCTTATGCGCAGTATATAGCCATAGCCCTTAGTTTGGAATGTTATGCTGAAGGCTGCAGTGAATCTTTCTACAACGCAGTTACAGTAGTGTATTGGTGTCTGAAAGGTTGGTAAACAGTGTCTGTTGGAAACCAGCATGAGAAATTGCCCCGGTTTCCAGGTTCTACAAGGTCGTTAATGGTGTCAGGAGGTGAGCTGATCTCATCAGCTCCCTGTGTGACTCATGATTTTACACATTCCTCACATATTTTTGTCCCCCAATCATCCTGCCGACTGTATACACAGGCCAAGGTTTTATGCTGAGGGTGAAAGATCAAGGCATAGAGACCCTGAAAGAAATGCGCCGTTTCCTTTTTCTTTGACAAAAATGTTATCTCATTTGATCATTTGAATGAGCAAATGGAAACCAGTCCATATAGTTTTTATGGAGATGTCAGAACCATTATTTCCTTGCACACCAACAAATACAGCCATATAAATATAACATGCTCTTTCCTGTATTTTGTATAATGTTTGCTTATATCACATTTGCATGTCCAATACACAGTAGGTGTTGCAATCATTTTGTTTTGTTTTTAAACTGTAATCCACGTTGAGATGGAAGACTTATATGAATAATAAGTAAAGCCACAAGGTTCAAACAACAAATATTCTGCAGTCTTCAGTAACTATTAGGGTGTAAGGAGTATGCATTTTAATGTACTGTAATCATTTACCACATTTGTATCTTACCACTAGAAGGAGTATTTTTTTTTCCAATAAAAGAAAATATTGTACAGTAATTTTGCCTTAGCTAAAATGTTGCCTACAGCCATCTGAGTTACTTCACTTTAAAGAGGATGCATTTCAGTGAATGTGTGTTTGTAAACGTAACTGAGGTTTTGGACACCGAAGAACCAGAATGATACGGCTGTGCCTGTGAGATGAGTGCGCTCTTATCCGAATAATAGACCATGGGATAAGATAGGACTAAGCTTATGCTCAATAAAAAGAAAAAAAGCTTTTGTGAGGGAAATAAGGCAGAAATGAAATGGGTGCAGAAGCAGCTAAAAATAAAAATTAAGCAAGGTAAAAATGATCATAGGAGGAAACGTGAGAGTAAGCTGCAGAATAACAATGTTAAAGAAGTCTGGGATGAAATGAAACTTATTACTGGCTATGGTACAGTAGGGAGGATGTCTTTCTACCTGGATGGTAACATAGGGCAGGCAAATTAACTAGATACTAGTTTTGTTAACAGATTTGACTCACCAGCTGCTATTGTTTCTTCCAGCACGACCTTCATAGCTGCTGAAGAAGTTGTAGGCTCTTTTTTTGTGGTTAGATCATACCAGGTGAGGAAGGAGCTGAGGCGCATCAAGCCAAATAAGACAGGTTCACCTGATGGCATTAGTTCCAAAGTAATGATAACTTGAGCAAATCAATTGTTGTTCTCTGCAGTTTTTGTTCAATTTATCACTAACACTTGACAAAGTACCAGTGCTTTTAGAGAACGTCTTGTATTGACCGGTTCCTAAGAACTCCTTCTCTATGGTTCTGAATGATTTAAGCCCAGTGGCCCTCACCACCTACATCATTAAGATATTCAGACAGATTATCCTAGCACATCTAAAACAACAACGGACTGAGCATCTGGATCCTTTGCAGTTTGCATACCAGGACAGTATTGGGGTCCTATTTATGTTGCACAGGGTATACCCCCCACTTGGAGGAGGCTGGGAGCTCAGTGAGAATTATTATTTTTTACTTCTCAACTGCCTTCAATACTATTTGTATTGCATCATTTATAGTGGGAAATGCATGGCACCCTCTCCACACGGTGATCTTGGACCAAAAAGCCTTTTCATTAGTTTTTTAGCTCCCTGATGCTCCACAGAGAGGTTTAGGAGATCCTTTTAACCTATGAATATCCATGCACTGAATAGCTCCAAAGCCTTTTAAGACTTTTTATCTTGGACTTTTACTGTTTTTTTACTGTTCTAGTTTTAAGAATAGTGCACTCTGTGGCATGATAAAATGTGTGAATGTACTGTTTTATATGTCTTTTATGGAATAATTGTCATATCTGTGTAGTGTTTTTATGTTTTTTATTGTATGTCTGTGAGCTGTGTTGGCAACTTAACCCCCCAAAGGATTAATTATAATATTGTATTGTTTAATCAAATTAATAAAAAAATATACAGCATAAAGTATACATTAATGAAATTATAAATTAAAATAACATAGCCACAATGAAATGCAACAATATGGACATTAAGTGTTTGATGAAGGTTCTCATCGTTATTGGATATCTTTGCCTCATATATGCAGTCCGTAAGCTACTACACCTCAAGACCATATTCAGAGGAAGTATAAAGGAGAATATACAACAAAAAATATGCACATCTATTTTCTGTTTTAAAGCTTGAGAAAAATCCTTGCTGACAGTAGCTGTATAGAATACAAAAACTGGGACACATCATTTAAAACGTGAATAGACCCGAGTGGTTGATTTATTTTCTGCAGAGATTTTTGTAAAAGAGACCATTTTTCTTTCCACGAAAACGAAAAATGGAAGATACTTATTCCAGTTGAAGACAAGCACCTAGATTAGATAAAATTGGTTATGATGTTGATGAATTTCAAAGGAGAGGTAAAAATCTTTTCTTTCATAAAGAAAATCTGAGTATCTGAAATTGTTTTCAGGTTATTGCTGCAGTGAAAGTATGGCTTTCACAATGAGGGACTGAAGGGAAAACACTTTTATTTGAACTGTCTGTGCTCTAACTCAGCACATTCAATTCTTGAAAGAAACCTGAAGGCATTATAAGCATCTTAAAATACTCCTACTCATTCAAATATTCCATCCTATGGATGGATTAAATCACAGTCAGTAGCCTGATGGGTGGTAATTATATGGCAGCTAGATTTTATCTTTTTACTTGAGCTGCAATTCCAGACCTGGTCAATAATGTGGGATAAAGTCCAGAAAGTTAGGCACATCATTACTTTGAAAAAACATCAGCTAATGAAAATTACAGTTTAACTCTATATGTTTGAAACCACATTTTAATATTTATTTGCAACACTTGTCATCAGTAGGCTTTAGCTACTTAAAATGTGAAATAAAACTCACTTATGCAACAATAATTGACTTGGAGCAAGTCAATTCCACTAAACCCTCATTTTAAATATCTGTGAAAATACACGTATAAAGATAAACTAGCAAGGATGTCTAAAAAAAATGTTGCACTAATCCCTCTTTTAAATTATTTTGCATTACATCCCAAATCTTTTGACATTTCATTTTTTAACACTGAGATAATTATATTACAAATTTGTTAACAGAGCTGATTTCATAGATTTGTTTTTAATGCAAGAATGGTATCCAGTTCTACAATGTCACTAGTGTGAAATATGAAGCAGGCTGGAAAAAAAATCTGAGCTAAGTAAACAAGAGGTTTCCTAACAAGAGGATGTGATGCCAGCTCACTATGGGCTCTTCATTCATTTGAGCATCCTTCAGCCAGGACCTCTGCCCTCGCACGGAACTGACTCTCAGTCCTCCGGCCTCTGTTGATTAATACAGGCCGTTCCTCCCTCTCCTGAAAACCTGTGCAGGAAGGCGCAAAGGAAATAGACAATGCTAATCTAGCAGAGGAGAGGACACGAGGAGTCCTTTCACACACAAAGCAGGGATCCTTATTTACACTTTTCCTTTTCGCAGTTGTTAACTCGAGATCAAAGCAAAGCTCAAAATGATTATACCACTACACATTCTACTCTGGAGAGCTGGGAAGAGTAAGATTTCTGAAACAAAAACACCAGTTAGCACTAGAAATGGGTGACTGGAAATAATGATCAATGGCAATTCCGTGAAATTGATCAAGTAGATAATGAAAACTGCCATGTTTTATTAAAGAAAGAAAAAAAGACAACCACGCTGTGTTGACTTTCTTCATTTTCACATGTTGATTGTGTGAAACATGAATGAAGTTCCTTGGCAGTGTCAATCATGGTGTGTACAGTCACAAAACAATTCAAAGGAGTCCAAGACCATGGAGGGTTGTTAACAGCTGTGACCATGTTTCCTAAGAGGTTCTGTGATTTAAAGGTGGACCATTGTGAACAGGAACTTTCAGCTGGGGGAACAGGAAACCTGCAGTTGCCATGCTGCACAATAAGAAAGTGCATGCCAGCTGCTTTTTTGAACAGAAGACATGAAAACATATTAAATTAGCAATACGGAGTAAAGCAATTTTTCAGATTTTTCTGCATCCAGGATTCAAGGTTACCCACGGTTAACCTACAAAGCTGAATAGCTTATTTGCTAATGCTGAACATTCCATAACATCCATCTGAATTGGCAGAAAATAATCAAAGAATTTAAGAACAGGACTATCTCCTAATAATAAAGTTATTAGGAGATAACAGCAGTTTATTTTTTATGCTGTTACAATTAGGGCCCTAATTAATTTGCAGCAATACTCAATCAATTTCTGCATGTCCTTTTTTTAGAGAACACAGAAATCAATATGACCAGCTTATCAAAATAATAAGTATGTTGGAGCTCTCAGTATGTGGAAGCAACACCTCAGTTGGATCAACAGCAGTGAAGCCAAGTCCTCTTTACTGGACACAACACACAATGAGACTGAACAGACAAGTACCCCCCTGTTATATCAACATCAAAGAAGCTTTAATAATTTCACTGTCAATACAAAAAATGTAAGTTATAATAAACAGTTACATAAACAGAGTTCAGGGCAAAGTACTCTAGGGACCATATGGAAGCAAAATGTTTCATTATGACTTGTTTCTTTTTCAGTCTCACACTGATTTCAGCATGAGTGCTCTGTAATTTGGTTAATAAATTCCAAACCCTGTGTTCTTTCATAATTAATCTCAACAATGTAACCATGAAGATTAATTTACAGCTGCTGGTATGTCCTCCGCAACCTTCAGTGTGATGGAGGTGCTCTGAGATCGGTACTCAGAGTGGATAAGGAAGATTAGAAGTCCTTAGTTTCTTCAAATGAGAACACATTTATATATTTTTAAGTGTCTAGGGATTCACAAGTACTTACAATAATGAACCACATTCTTCTTTTATATTAGAGAACATGCAACTTCAACATTTTGTTCCAGAGCAAGGACTACACAGTTCAGAAAGAAAGAAATTTGCACTTTTCTGAGAAAGGCCAGACTGAACAGTGTTCACTGAAGAAGGCAGACAAGTTCATACAAGCAACATGTTTATGATCAGTTTTCTCTCATAGCAGTGCAAACATTTAAGAGCAAGTCAGCTGGTTGAATTAAACTGCTCTCTTGATGGGAAAAAAAAGCTGTGTAATCACTCTCTGACAAACATTCAAAAGACTACAAAAAGAAGCAGCCGATTTACTCACACACAAGCTACAAAAATAGATGCCCACAGGTCTGTTTTGTACCAATCTGCTCAATGAAACATAAGTGAAATGATCCAAAGCAAAAAATGATTCTTCCACTTGGTGTGAGTGTAATTCAATTACAATTTAGTTAACATGCTGGAAATTATCTGTGTTTCATCCCACAGATGTGGTCTATTTTTTTTATAGAGTTAAACCGGTTGAAGGACTGCAGTTTGCCTTTTGCAAGGCAGCCAATCACATGTCTGCCATCATCCATTGAAAACAGGGTCAGTTCTGCACACCACATTAGCAATCTACTGCTTGCAGGTGTTCAAAAATCAAAATGATTAATAAAATTCAATGCACCCGTCCACTATATTGGTTTATCACTAAGACTAAAACACTATGAAGGTAACTTTTTTTTTCAATGAGGAACTTCTTGATACATTTTAGTTTAAGTGGACCATCCTCAACAACTAAAAATATAATCACCGGATTTATCAAGCAGATGAATTCTGAAACCAGTATTGCTCATAAAGAACAGCACTATAGATCTAAAGCTGGTGTCAATTTAGATCTCAAAGTGCAGCACACAACTTATAAACATACTTCTTTTTAAAGCAACTGAGAGGGGACATATTGGTAAAAAGAAAAAAATATCTGACCTGGCTCTTCACATCTACATTTAATGGTTGACAAAAGTGACAAAACCTACAATTTTCAAAATGTAATGAGCCCATATATAGTTTTCAAAATCCAGTACGTCCATGATGTTTTATGCCACTTTGTATAGAACAAAATACAGATTGGAAATAATCTGTATAATAATGAAAAAGTTTAGTGCTGGTTCGATTATTAATTTGTGGCAGTAGGTCAAAATCGAGACCTTATTATTTTAACATGCATGTAAAAAAAGGCCTTGTGTTAACAGCTAAATTACATTCCACAAATAATCTTTCAGGACATCAGGTTTAAAGCTAATCTATAAAACCTGTATGACCTCTGCAAAAAGATTTTACCAAATAAGAGCAACACAAGGTTTTGTAACATTAAAATAAAAGCTCCATGAAGCTCAAAAATGAGAAAAACTGACAACAAAATTCACCTCATGTGAGTTCAGTAGAACTGCTGAGAGCCACATAAGCCAATAAATGTTTTCTTTCTTGTTGAACTTTAAAAAATGAAAATCATTCATATCTTCTTTTGAACTAAATTGCATGTGTGGCATTTACCAGTCTGTATAAAAATAATAAAAAACTAAAGTTAAGAAAATAATTTTAAAGCCTTCAAAGGGAACACAAATATTTCAATATTTCCAAAAAGCAAAACATTTACAACTTGAGCAACTGATCTTACTTGATCATTTCACTAGTATTATTTTGGCATTCAATCTGGACTTGTCATACACTCAGAATCACAGCTGCTTTTTTAATATGGGTGAGGCTGGAATTTGACGAACTACTGTATTTTTCTACAACTGAATATTAAATGTTATTTTTAACATTTTCCTTACATCAGAGTATTGTGCTGAAACCTCCAATTAAAAGTAAGTAAAAAAAATAATGTACAAAATAAATACTCTAAAAGGCAAAGAGCTTCACCTCACACACAAGAATAAAAGACTTCTTAAAAATGTAGGGCCTCTTGACCTCCATATAAACGGTTACATAAAGCACACAAGCTAAAGAAAAATATCAAAACAGGCGTGAAACCACTGAAGCGACAGGAAGTGTAACACAGCTTTGCATGCTGGGACAAAGGCCTAGATCCCATCCCCTTTAAAACCATGGCAGGAGCTGTGAAAATCACCTGGAAAAAACAAAAAACAAGAATGTCGATAGGAGAAGACACTGGCTAAACAGATATAAATAAGAGAACTGCAGTTTTTTTATGATCAATGGCTTTGTTTAATAAAATTCTAAAAAAATAGCATCTACTCTACCTACAATTTGCAATATTGTACTAAAAAAACAACTGATAAGGTAAAAAGAAATAGAAATGCTTCTTACTTTCAAAACTAAGGCTATCTTTAATAAATGAACAATTGTCAGTATTCAGGGATACTTCAAAAATATAAACCTCCTTTATAGTATTCACTCAAAAAAAAGCTCATGAGATTCTATTTCCTTAATTCATTTTCAAAGAGATGCATTCATCTCTGAAAATATCTTGTTATTTTTATCTGTCCTGCACCACATTACCAGACAGCGTGTGTAGTAATTTTATATATGTTATGTACTCATATCATCATCATCATCAGTTGCAAGAAAAAGTTTGTGAACCCTTTGGAATTACCTGGATTTCTGCATTACTCATAAAAATGTGGTCTGATCTTCAACTAAGTCACAATAATAGAAAAACACAATTTGCTTAAACTAATAACACACAAACAATTGTACTTCTTGTCAATACTGAACACATCATTTAAACACTCACAGTCCATGTTCAAAAAAGTTTGTGAACTCTTGTATTTAGTAACTGGTAGAACCTCCTTTAGCAGCAATAACCTCCACCAAATGTTTCCTGTAGCTGCTTATGAGACTTGCACAACGGTTAAGAGGAATTTTAGATCATTCTTGCTTACAAAACTGTTTCAATTCATTATTATTTCTGGGATTCCTTGCGTGAACAGCTCTCTTCAGATCATGCCACAGCATCTCAATTGGGTTGAGGTCTGGACTCGGACTTGGAAATTCCAGAACAAGAATTTTCTTCTGTTTAAGCCATTCTGTTGTTGATTTACTCCTGTGTTTCAGGTCACTGTCTTGTTGCATCACTAAACTTCTATTAAGCTTTAGGTGACGGACCGCTACCCTGACATTCTCTTATGAACTATTGTGATCCAATTTTGAATTCATTGTTCCCTCTATGATAGCAAGCTGTCCAGGGCCTGAGGCAGCAAACAAATGATGATGCTCTCTCCACCATGCTTCATGGTTGGTGTGCAGTGCTTTTTTTCCCTTCAAACATAGCATTGTGCATTTCTGCCAAAGAGTTCAACTTTGTCCACAGAACATTGTCCCAGAAGCGTTGTGGAACATCCAGGTGGTCTTCTGCAAACTTGAGACATGTAGCAATGCAGTGGTTTCCTCTGTGGCATCCTTCCATTAACACCATTCTTGTTCAGTGTTTTTCTTATAGTGGGTACATGAACAGAGACTTTGACAAGTTCAAGAGATTTCTGCAGGTCCTTTGCTGTTACCCTAGGGTTCTTTATCACCTCCTTCAGCATTGCACACTGTGCTCTTACTGTGATCTTTGCAGGACGCCCACTCCTAGGGAGAGCAGCAACAGTACTGAATTTCCTCCATTTGTAGACAATTTGTCTTACTGTGTATTGATGAACACCCAGACCTTTAGAAATGCTTTTGTAGTCTTTTCCAGCTTTATGCCTCTCTACAATTCTTCTTCTAAGGTTCTCTGATATTTAGACTGAATGTTTAAATGATGTGTTCAGTACTGACAAGAAGAAGTACAATTGTTTTGTGTTGTTTTTAATAAGTCCACATTTTTATGAGTAATTAAGGCAGATATCCAGGTAATTCAAAAGGGTTCACAAACTTTTTCTTGCCACTATATATACTGCTATTTCTCTTATTTCTTGAAACATACTTTAGATAACCCCCCACATCATTTTGTTTTTAAAAATGATGATGGGGATTACGTTATACAATATAAATCACTTTTCGGGCCAGATAGATTTGATTTGCTATAGGTTGAGAACATTAAAAAAGCCTGTAAGGAGTGAAAAGAGGCACTGTCCTGATTTTACCTGTCAAGGTGGCTGACCACCTCTCTCACACTGTTGATGAGGTTCTCGTGCTCCTGGGGGTTTGCTAGGATGATGCTGTGTAGCTTGTTCATGTATGAATCAATGGTGTCCATTGTGGGTGTCTCCCCACTGCCTGAAGTGCAAAACAGTGAGTGAATGCAGAATCATAATTTTATGTTTCCACTATTTGCATAGAGTTCAGATCACATGAAAGGTGATCAGAGAGAGCTGAAAATGTACTTACATTTAGGAATGTTGGTACTGTTGGGAAGGATTAGTACAAAGATGTGAATATGAGCAAAACAAGTTGTTAAAGGTAGTAAAGGTGTAGCAGCACACAAATAAGATTTTCACTGGAGTACCAGATAATCTTAAAATTAAGTACATTGAGTATAGGGTGTGTAAGTAAAAAAATAAAAATAAGGCTCATATGTAATCTGAAATGTAATGAAGGACAGAGGTGAAAGGGAAGGCTTACAGGTAAACTCAGATGTTTAATGTATTTCAGTCAAGATTGATTTAAAAAAATGTTCACAAATTCATGTTTTTCTTTGTTTAATTGGTCTTATCTTAGTAATGACCACCTTGTTCTTATAGTCCAGGTAAAGAGATAAGGAGGCCCTATAAATAAGTATTTAACATTTAGTACTATGAAAATTCAAGACAACATGATCAAATACACTGACAAGTGTTGAAAAAGAAATGGAGTAAAGGTAGCTCAGTAAGGAGACATGCAGGGGCTCCCTCACCAGGAAGAGGCAGACTGGAGAAGCTGCTGGTCAGGGCCTGGCGCAGAGCCTCCAGGTGCTGCTGCAGCATGGTATTTCGATTGCGCTCTTGCATCACATCGCCCTCCAGTCGCTCCACTGCTCCCCGCATGCTCTCCACGTGCTTCTGCAGCGCTGCATTGCGCTCCTCATACTCCATGTTGGTTTTCCGCAGCTGCCGCAGCTCAGCCTCTCGTGCTAAAATAAAAAGCAGTACAGTCATGCCTGCAAGCAATTCATCTGTGCCACCCGTGTTTACACAAAGGGTATTTTCCAAATGGTTCCGTGACTTCATTTGCTTTTTGCTAAAGAAACAAAATTAATTAAAAGCTTAGACATTATAAGCTTCATAGGACTCACTGCTCCGTGCACAGAAGTATTTCCCCCCATAAAGTTTTGATTGCTAATATGAAACGGCTGAGTAACAGCTCTGCATGGGAGAGGCTCTATTTCCTAAATTATGCAAAATGTATCCCATTATTCTCAGAACATTTTTTAGTCTTCAATCCAAAAACCTCCTTTTTAAAAAAAAACGGAGACTGCATTTAACAAAAAGACAGTAACAACTCCTTAAAACTATGTCTTAAAGGCATCAGAGGATACTTTTTCCTGGATGTTTTTGTAGGCTTGAATTGGCCTGAAAATGGTATTGTGAGAATGTTTTCAGAAAGCCTCTGTAAATTTCAGTTTCACTGAAAACTACAGACACTAAAAACAAATCTTGAAAACAGAGAAGAGGAATTACAATTATTAACAGTGCTGTAAGTGTGCTTAGCTAAAATAAAGATGAGCTTCTTTACCTTATTTAACCTTACCTTTGCTGTGGTTGAGGAATTCTTCAGTAAATATGGGAATGTCAAACACAGACCTCTCCTTTCCTTCAGCATCTTTCTGAGGTGAAACAACAACAGGAAAGTTTGGCAGCAAACAATACAGGACAATAACGCACATAATCTTAAGAAAAGTATTTATTTTCATTGAGGAGGGAAGTACTGTATAAAACATATTACATATTACATATTATATTATAAAGCTTAACAGGAACAATTAATCCTATTAAATAGTGATGGGAGTATGAACTTGAAAAATCTGACATTAACAGCTATTTTGTCTAAAAGACAACTTACAATTATCATGGATTGAAAAATATATCTTTCAGGACTCCAAGAGAGTGTATATATATATATCCATCTCTGTGGCTACTCCATAATGGAGGTGCAGTGCTGGTTGATGGGGAGGTACATCCTCCATTCATAACACAGTAAAAGCACATGTGAGGCTGCAGGGGTTATTCTGTTTGCTGGGAGAGTCCTAGATAACTATTCGCACTCTACACTCAGTGGCACTCAAGACAACTGTGCACCATTTTAAACGGAGTCCCAGTCACAGTCGGCCAGTTACAAGACCTGCTAACGTCAGCCAGCAGCCATATCACCCTGCAACTCACAACTGGCAACCCACTGAAGCTCAGCAGGTGTGAGCCTGGTCAGTACCTGGATGGGAGACCTCCTGGGAAAAACTAAGGTTGCTGCTGGAAGAGGTGTTAGTGGGGCCAGCAGAGGGGGCTCACCCTGCGGTCCGTGTGGGTCCTAATGATGGGGACACTATACTGTAAACAGGTGCCGTCCTTCGGATGAAACGTAAAACTGAGGTCTTGACTGTGGTCATTAAAAATCCCAGGGCGTTTCTCGAAAAGAGTAGGGGTGTAACCCCGGCGTCCCGGCCAAATTTTCCATTGGTCCTTACCAATCACGGCCTCCTATTAATCCCCATCTATGAATTGGCTACATTATTCTGCTCTCCTCCCCCACTGATAGCTGATGTGTGGTGAGCGTTCTGTTGCACTATGGCTGCCGTCGCATCATCCAGGTGGATGCTGCACATCGGTGGTGGTGGAGGGACATTACATTACCTGTAAAGCGCTTTGAGTGGAGTGTCCAGAAAAGCGCTATATAAGTGTAAGCAATTATTATTATTATTATTATTAACGTCAACCCTACGACGTTAATAGAGATTACAGAACTCAAACAGCGCTCATGGGAATGTCTTTCCAGTTGTCCACTCAGGAGACCCAGAATTACTGCATATGTAAAGAACAATCCTTTAATATTCCTGATATAGGTCTGAATTATATATAGGTTATATAGCGATCATTTATTTTTTTTCTTTGCAGACAGAGAAACAGCTGTTTAACTCAGCATGATTCACATTCAGCAAGGCCTTCTGAAGCAAGACAGTTTGTCAAATCTCCCTTGGCCTGCCTTGGGTCTTCGACTTTTATTTTATAAGAAAATTAATATCATCACCATAATTATATAAGCAGACAATAAAAATTAATTAAGTACTGAACTATCTAATGGGAGTTAAAGCTCTAAGGAGAATTCAGGGGAATTACCAGGGCTACCTAATCCTATGAAAGAACTGCTGCAATTTTAATACTTATGCAAATCTGCCGTCTCTTTTAAGTTCATGTATACAGATGATTGATCAATTCTAACAGGGTTTTGCTGGACAGATTTGAAAGGCCGCAGGGATTACCTCAAGAAGAGATTCATTAGCTCCCTGACGTCCCAGATCTGCTGGAGAGAAAGAAAACATCGTCCAGATGTGAGTCATATCATGCCCCACTGTTCTCTGAACCTACATCCTTCTGGCTCACCCTGGTGTCACAGTATTTTGAAATTCCTCTAAACCTTCTGACAAATTCTGTCTCCGGGCCCATCTTCCTTTCAGGATTTGACCGTGGCACGGCAGATGTGGTGTGCTGGTGCTGAATGGCCGTCTTATTTCAACTCAGTAATGACTATACATCATTGAAAGACAGGAAAACTGATAATGTGGCTGAGACAAAAGCGCAGAATGCATTCAAACTGCAAGTGAAAACTGTCCAGGATAGTGTCATTTCAATAGTTGGTAAAATAACATGTAAAAGTGAGTGTTCAAGTTACATTTTCATTAGGTTTTCCCTAACAAATCCATAGGTAGAAAATGTGAAATATTTATAAAAATATAAACAGAAAAACTATAATCCTAAAGCACATGCTTAGGTTCCAAGTGAGGTTCCTATGTGCACTTTACCTGCTCTGTGCTGCTTGCCCTTCTGCTTCTCCTGAACCTTTCTGTTGAAGTGTTTATATGCCTCTGTCTTCTGGTACTGCTCCAGCTCCCTCATGTATCGCTCCTTATCCCTTTCGGCCTCATCCAGATAGCGCTGCAGATACACAGACAAGCTAGATAAAGCACTGCCTTATGAGTCTGCACATACCCGGTGATAATGCTAGCATAGGCTCACATTGCTTTTGTCTGATGTCCATCCAGAAGGAGTCTAAGCGAGATGAATGGCATGAGTATGCAAGGAATTCATACAGTATGTAAAATTTGTTGGTAAATCAGTAAAATGACTGCTCAGGACAGAACCCATAAATCAAGAAAAAGACTTGCATTTAGTTCTTTTTTGGACTTGCAGGGTAAAGCTTTATGTACGGACTAAGCTATTTCTGTAATTTGATTAGAAAAACTTGGACTGAGACAGTGGGAATCATTGTTTTTGGCCTCCAAACCCAATTTACAATATTTGGTCTACTTAAAATATTCAGTCTTTGGCTTTGGCCAGCTGTAAAACAGCAATTTATTTTTAGTTTTGCTTGAGTTCCAGCATTTAAAAGACTCAAATGAAAATAAACAGTAAGCCTATATACAGAAATCCCATATATTCCTACAGACGGAGATAAAACAGCAATTTCTTTTATTATGTTGACCACACGAAGTTGCAAGTGCTGTTGGACCAATTCACATATAAATGTTGGTCACATACTGCTCATGACATAGCCCTGTCTTCAACCAATAATATGAACTTTAAGGCTCAATCTTTGAGGCTGAAAATTTTTTCAATTTTATATTAAAAACAGTGTGGATAATGATAGGTGGCAAACAAGTTTCTTTTGAAAATCTAGAATGGACATGATATTGCTAATCAACAGCTCAACTGACAATTCTTCCCAGAAGCATTTACGGCTTATACAACCTTTCCAATTCATTCTATTTCTTTACCCAAGACAGGATATGTTTAAAAACATTTGTCACTGTATTTTTAAGATGCATATTATACCTTGCACAATGCTCTGATGTCTAAAAAAAAGAACAAATCACAATGTATCTACAGAGAATTCTAACATAAATGATCAGTTTTTTAAATATACATTCTTGTAAACAAATTGTTTCACTTAAGTTTTCACATTTGTTTTCTTCAGTAAATTCTAAAACAGAAAAAAACTAAATAAGATGCTTGTGAAATAGTGTTAATGATGTGTTACACATAATAAACATCCTAACAGCTATTCTATTTGGAAATAGTGAACCATTTCCATTCACTCTTTCCTTGTATTGCTCACTGCATCTCCCAAGGCCCTCTGGGAAGGGCTCACCTGCTTCTCTTCAGGGGGCAGCTTGCTCCACTCATTGCCAAGCATCCTGGTGATCTCAGGAAAGGGAACATCAGGACGTTCGGCGCGTAGCTGTTCCCGCCGCTCGTTCATGAAACGCACATAGCCTGTCAAGGGGGCTTTGGGAGCATTCCTGTCCTTGATGGGCTTCTTCCTCTTTCTCCCTTTCGTCCAGCTGGAGCGCCGAGGTTTCTGCTGTGAACGCACAACAGGCTACAGTCAGCACAGGGCTTACCAGGGATCAGCAAGTTCTAACATCTCAGCTTCTCTTTAGCAACCCCAGGGTAAGACAAACAACACTTGTATGCACCCCATCAAAGTAGTCATGAGTATTAGGGCAACATTTCAGATCTCTGAGAGTTTCGTTTTTAACTTAATAACTTCCATAACTCAACACAGAGCATGAAAAGAAGGGACAAAGATTTTCAACAACTCGTTTTACTCTTAATTCTGCAGTCTAACTTAGTCTTTTCTATCTATGAAATGAGACAGAATAAACTTGCAATGCCAGTCCTCTCCCTTGGCTGAGATTTATATTTAGACCACTGGCAAATTTAGAACAGCAAAAAAATAATTGAGTGCTCCAAAAAACATATGGATTGGGGCTCAGCCTCACCTCCTCGCCATTTCTCCGACTGCTGGCCTCAGTGTTGCCACTGGGAGACTCAGTCTGTTGCGTTGAGGCCTGTGAAAAATCCTCCATATCGGCACGGGTTTCAGCTTCCACTGCCGGGGACCTGCTAGGCAGATGGTACAATGCAGCTGAAAACCACATTCACCAAGCAAAGACTAAACCAGACTGCACCGAGAAGGTCCACTGGAAACATTTTCAATAATGATCAGAAAACTGATAATTCCATTGATAACATTCATAACAGATTCTTCATGTAATTTTATTCAAATTGCCAGCTCTGTAAAAAACAACGTTTTAATGGTGATGCCCGCTTAACATGATTAGTTCAAAAACATTTTTGAAGAACTAGCGGAAAAATATACCCTTTTACTGGACTGGCAGTGTGACAATATCTCCTCCTGCATTAGAAACATGTTTTCCTCCGGGCAAGTTGCCCTTAACTCAGGAACAAAAAGTATCACATTGTTTCAGTCCTGGTAGGACATCAGAATGGTTTCTGCCTTCCACTATACTAAGGTACTGGTTGGACACTCTCTAGTTTAATTAAGTAGCTGCTCCTTGGAGTTCTAAACAAAAAATATTTTAAATGGGTAGAAAAAGAACAGTCTGTAATTTTGATAGAAATTGTGCAGCAATGACAAGCAGCACCTTGGCTGTCACCATTCCAGAGTTTTCTGCAAATTGTTAGCTCTTGCATGTTTGTCACTCTCCTAACAGAAATCAGCCCAGAGAGGAAACTGAATCTCCGTGGGAAAAGACCTTTGATTTATAATACAATGTCAAAACTTAAGAGGAAAATTACAGGGTCTCAAGGTTCCCAGCTGCAGAGTGGAAATGCTGCTTGAAAGAAAAAAAAAAAGGAAATGAAATTGGCTTGTTTTTCTAAAATTATTTTCAACTGGAAGCCATTTCCCCGATGCCAAGAGATTTCCCAAGCACAGAGTATAAGACTGGCCACAGGGTTTGTGACAAAGGATTATTACATAGTTCATTCTGTTTTGTAATATTAGTATAATTAATAGAGTCACAGAGAAAAGGGTTTCTTTAAAACATGTTTTGGTTAGAAATAAGATCTTAGAAATGTGATTTATATTTATCATCTTAAACTGCAGTTCGATACTGTAGTTAAATCTTCAAGACAACAGTGGTCCAGTGTTATCAATACTGTGCCAGAGAGACCATACTAAATTGGTTCCCATTTTAATAATACAATGCAGAAATAATGGCATAGACAATACCAAATAATAACTTAAATGAGAGACAACTGTTATCACATTTTAACAAGTTTCTACTAGTTTTAACTTTCATAATCATTATATAATCTCTCTGACTAATTTTGAAGTAAACTGCAAACTATTCACTATAGAATATCACTACCAGTACAAAATAAAATCTTTTACATATTAAATCACGACATATTTACAATGGAAATGGGCTACTCCATTCTTTTGTTCATTAAAATATTGGAAGGTGTGTTAAAGCACTATTATTGCCTGTAGTTCTACAGATCTAAAACACAGAAGTCATAGTAATACAGTACAGATAATTCGATTTGAAAAATTGAAAGCATGAACGTAAGTGTAAAACAAATTTAAAAATAAAATGTGTCCAGTGACTCACTTTTCACACCTACTTTGTAAATCATACTGATTTAAAGGGAACCTTTAAAACAAAACGAGATAAAGACAATGCTGCCCTCTGTCCTCATAGACTAGGTAAGCGAACACAATCATTGGAATAAATGGAATGCCACATACAGATGATAGGAACTAAAACTCTTTTGATAAAAAAATATTTTAAAATCCGAAAGTTACTCATTGGGCTAATTCAGATTCAGCAATTAAACAACGACCTGAAAAAGCATAAGTGAAAAATATAAGAAAGCACTAAACATTTTTTTAAGTACCGCTATAGGTGGGAACTGGATTTTTTATTTGCTCTTTGTCTGAAAAGAGCTGAAACAGTTGGCCTAAATCCAGTCTTGAAGAAAAGCTGACAGAAACAGCACTGCTAACCTAGAGACTTCTCGAACACTTTGTGAAACAGCTGTCTGACTGGTCAATGGATGACGTCAAGGAGCCCTGACCCCTGATCTCAAGCGCCGCTGAGGTAGAGGGTAGCCCCTCGGAACTGAGTCATAGCATCCTGCACGTGGCTTCCTTGTCCTACAAGGACACAATGTCCTCAAAAATCTCCAGAAATGACTGAATAACACTAAATGTAAAAAGGAAATGTCCTTTTGCCACACCACAAAAATGAGGGAAAACTGGTATTTTTACAAAGTGTCACTTATGTCTCAAGGTGTTACTGTACTTTGATTGTAAAACTGTCACCCACTGCAAACAAGAGTTGGCAAAACAAACCACAACAGTAGACCAAAAAAGAAAACTAATAATTTAACACATATAAAGCGTTTAAAGTGACACATCTTTTTCAAAGTTTTAAAGTTTTTACATAACTACAAAGTATAAACAAAGTTTTTCCATTACACCCTGCACACCATCCCAAACAAAAGTACAAACCACCGTCTATCTCCAATTTCCACTGAATTAACTAAAGACACAGGGTGTGACCAGGTTTATTGTTTCTAAGTCTATTATGTTGAAACAATAAGTATTCAGAGTTTTAAATATGTTAATCCACTTACCTTAACCACAACTTAGTAAAATTTGAAAAGGTTAGAAGAGGTAGCATACCCAATTTACTGTAGGTTAACAGTATTATCACACTTAAGCAAACTGGTGAAAACTGAGACTACCAATAGTCTGCAACTCTAAACTACCTCTCATTTACTTAATTGGATCTGGTTAGACAATGACAATAAAGGAAAAGGTTTTAATAGCTGTATTGCTAGGGTGGTTCTGAAGCTGAAAAATTGAATGAGTGAGCATGAGTCGTGAGAATACGAAACAGGATGGATTTCACTGCAGAGCAGCGTGAAACTATTACTTGATGGCTTAAGTTAAATGACCCTCAAAAGGGCGATTCAGAACTTCAAACAGCAGCTTCTGTATTTTGAGTCTGTACATTAAACAATAACACTGAGATGGAAAATGCCATTTGGAGAAAAAAAAAAAGGGCTCTAGCTCCCCCTAATGTGGGCAGGGTTAATTTTTTTGGCTGTTGCTTCCATCCAAACAGTCTGTTCCCATAGCCTCCAAACAACTGGGCACTGACACACACAAACCCCCACACACAGAGACCAGCTGAGAGACAGATGTGCAATACTTAAGTAAACAAACAGTGACTAACAGGAAACTGCAGAGGGAACCAGAAATGTGGTCTTTCAATTAGACTCAGAATAATGACTTGATGTATTCTACTGTCCAGCATCAAGGGTAATAAAGTTCATGGAACATGCAAATCTGCAAAAGTAGTTCATTGTCTGGTGAATAAAATATCAGTGCGAATTCTTTTTAAAATATTACATCTGTTGGCATCAGCCAAGTTACTTAAAATGTACTAAATAAAGTTAAGATTTTAAATAATCCATTGCTTAAACAACTTCATGGATCATAATTATATATTTTCTATGTAATAATTTTGTATAAACAGAAAAAACAATTATAACTTGCAATTACAGAAGGGAGACTACTCATTTATACAAAGGGACATTTACTGAAGCAATCTAAGTTAATAATAATTAGTAATAATAATTGCTTACACTTATATAGCGCTTTTCTGGACACTCCACTCAAAGCACTTTACAGGTAATGGTGATCCCTACTCTTTTCGAGAAACGCTCTGGGACCGCTCAGGACCTCGGTTTTACGTCTCAGCCGAAGGACGGCGCCTGTTTACAGTATAGTGTCCCCGTCACTATACTGGGGCATTAGGACCCACATGGACCACAGGGTGAGCGCCCCCTGCTGGCCCCACTAACACCTCCTCCAGCAGCAACCTTAGTTTTTCCCAGGAGATCTCCCATCCAGGTACTGACCAGGCTCACACCTGCTGAGCTTCAGCGGGTTGCAAGATGTGAGTTGCAGGGTGATATGGCTGCTGGCTAGTTAAGAATTCTGGATAAAAATACATCAGCAGCATGGCATCTGGGATGTGACCCCACAACCCTGTTATGGATTCCACAGCCCTGGCCAGTACATACCTATACCATGCATTGGAAGAACAATCAAATTTATCCACAGAGATCCATCTGTGCTTGAAATGAACCCACTACTGAGCACGGAAGATGCAGTCAGAACTTATCAACCAGATTTCATGACACATTTCCTGAAATTCCAGGACATGTCTGGTGAACAAATGCCATAAAGAAGCCCAAGAGCAACCTACTACACATGTGCTGTTTACAAAGGAGCAGTGTTTGGAAATCTCAGTCATTTGAGAACAGAGTCATTTAAAGCAGAGCTTCATCGAGTAGACCTTGGCATAAACTCAATCCTGCAAAAGCAATATAGGGCTATCAAACAAAAAACACTGTGTCACCCAAATACATACTTTTATAACTATTTCCAAACTAAGGAAACAGTAGACTAACCACTGCCTCGATCTATGTGTTCAAGCTCTCTGGTATAAAAACTAGATTTACTTTCATTGAGAATTAATCCCTCATCAACTCCTAGTAATGTCTAACAAACTAAAGCATTTAATCAACAACTCCTGACTGATAAGAGAAATGGAGATTGAATAATGCTGTTTGCCAATATGCCCCTTTAATGTGTAACCATTCCCATGTTGTTTTCCTATATAAAAAACACACATTATTTGCGTCTGCTGTTTATAATCAGTACCACTGTGCCACCAGCTGCTCCATGTGCAGCATTAAGGAAATCAACCATAGCTTTAAAGCACTTCCTCACAAAATGTAGGGAATACCTAACCACAGAATTTGCTAGCACAAATTTCAGACATCTGTACTTTAGTGTTATAATAACAGCCAAGACAGATGCTATATAAGATTAGTCTCCTACTACCCAAACACACACACAAAACCTTACTGCTGACCCAAAATATCAGCACAATTTCAGAGCCCAAACTGTGCTGCCACATATAAAAACACTCAGCCATAGTGCCCTTACACAATAGGCACATTTCCAGTTGAGGAAGGAGTCAATATAGATGCAAAGGAGAGTAGTACAATATGATTAGAGAGAAATAACTCCATTGTAGAACACCCACTGACGTTAAAGAATTAAGCTACATGCAAATATCTAACATATCAGTTGATAAGTTTTAAACGGGTGAAAATAATGACCTTTCCAAAAGCCAAATACTGCAAGGACATCATAAATGAATTCAAAAATGCTACTTTTAAATGGTGTTTCAATTAACATATTTATTTTTTTGGGAAAACGGACATACAGAAGTACTTTTTTCCAATATGTGCATTTTAATTCAAGGGTGAAGATGAAGTTTAGGGTATCATATAGTAGTGGTAAAGACTCATGATCTATAATCACACGCAACTTTAAAACCCTAAGACTGATGCCGATGTTAGATCCTTGAGCCATGAATTTTCCCCTCTTCTGCCCCAGTCACACTAAGGGTTACACAGGTAATGTTCTGTCCTATTAACCCTTAATGTCGCATAAAAGAGTCTTGGGAGTTGTTTGCTCTGCTAAAAGTCACTGTAGTAAAACCTGGGACAGTCCTTCAAGTATATAAACTGCTTAGTTTTATAAAGCAATTAATCAAATACTCAGTTTTCTAAATATTGCTGAAGTTCTTCGACTCCAAAGACCTTCCTTTAGGTATCCTGTTGATACCGGAAAATGGTATAACGCTGATATTGAGTATATGCAATGAGTGCTTTATATTTCAAACAATTTGGACATTCTACGGTTGTCAAAAAAGAGACCATTTCTATGTGCACCTTTTAGAAATATAGTACTTAGCAGTTTGAGGTTAGCAATGTAGTAATATTTCTTATGGAACTGCTTATTTCTAACCTTGTTATCAAGATTTTAACTATACTGTGACATGTGGCCTCGAAGAAAATGAAGCATAATCCACTCGATGAGTGACGATAACTTTAATTATACCCATATCTGAGGCACTACAAGGTAGCCAGAAGTGCTTAAGATACTTTATTATTTCATACTGCCAACCGATTCACTTGCATACTTAGGAGTGAATGTAATGGCATGAAAAACTCCAGGGGCTACAACATGTTGGGGGAGCGACGAAATAACACTTTTGAAGTATAGTAGTCAATACGTCTTATTTTTTTGAATTTACTTAAAATAGTGAGCGGTGTTTAAATAATAAAACAGAATTCGAAATATTTTCGAAATAGCTTTACGATACGGTATGAACAACCAATATTATTAATAACAACACGAACTAATGTTAAGAGGGGTACTCAACACTCAAACATTTTAGGCAGAAAAATAAACAAAAGGTACACCAAAAATAAATTCAGCTTTTAACGAAGGGCCATGGAAAATAGTACTATTTAACAATAGATTTACAAATATACTTCCATCACAGTCTTTAACAAACAAGAGTGTAGCCGGAGTTTCCAATCTTTAGAGACACATGAATTGTGCGTTTCCTTTTTGTTTGTCTCAGACTTTCAACCATTCGGATGCATATCGCACATTGTATCTAAGTACAGAACGCACACCAAACCCTTCCTCAAAACACCGTTATTCAACCCCTGATAATCCACACTGACCTGCAACCCGCTTGAAGATCCGAGCAAAGGTTATATATATTATTATAGGGGGACCCACAAATCACAACAATGCCAAGTACCCCCTTACGTGTCTCAACTATATTACGCGTCAAGCACTGACGTGGGACAACTCACGCTCATCTTTAGATCAATCCGCCCTTGAATTGGTAGAATTTGTATTTCTTTTTACTACGAAGACACAAAATAGATGTTAAATTAATTAATTTATGTAAAAAGTACATTATTTTGGAACAATTATAATCATAAATCCGCCCTTTCGCTTGTAACGTAGCTCTATATTTCTTCGCGGAATTATTTCAGTTTACGTGAATGTGCCGTAAAAGTGTGGCACTGAGCGTCTGTCGCAGAGCAGGAATCACTGCCGTCGGTGTTGCTGGGAAATGTATTTTTGATAGGCTTGTCCTGGGATTCGCGTATGAATACAAGTAGGACGTGACAGTAATTGGGTCTCAAACAAAAGGAACAGTGCTTGCTGTTCAATTAATTCACTGTTTTATTTTATTTTTGGAAAACTGTTACGATCTGGATGTGCCAGCAGGCAACTTTAATTCCTATATAAAGAGCTCTTTTACCTTCTCGAGATGTAAATAAAAAGCATTTGAATACTACTGCTGCTAATACGGCTACATCACAACAACAACAACAACAACAACAACAACAACAACAACAACAACAACAACAATAATAATAATAATAAAACTATGTCAATTGGCTCCATCTAGTGGTGACATAAATATTCCATAAATGCCATAATTCAGTAGTTTGGTAGTGATAACGTGGGTTAGACTTCACTGAAGTCTACTGAATTTACTGAATCTAAAATTTCACCCAGCCCTTTTTTGAAGGTGTCCAAGATTTGGGTATCAATTGCTTAACTGAGAATCTTTTTGTAAATTAATTTTAAGTTCAACCTTTATTGTCCCATTAGGGAAATTTGTTTTACAATAATAATAATAAACTTTATTTTATATCGCACCTTTAAAGGTGGCTTCTCAAAGCGCTTTACAGGATGACAACTATAAATAAAAAGAATACATAAGATAAACACACAATTACAATATATAGAGGAGACCGTGGATGGTGGTACAAAGAAAAGCAGAGGGGTGAAGAATGGAACCAGTTAAGTAAAGACTTTTCTGAAGAAAAGGGTTTTGAGTCTGGATTTGAAGGAGTTTAGGGAAGGTGACTCTCTGATATCCTTGGGAAAAGAGTTCCAGAGCTTGGGGGCATAACAGGAGAAGGCCCTGTCACCCATACAATGTAGACGGGCTTGGGGGACAGTAAGGAGAGCAGAATTAGAAGAGTGAAGGTTGTGAGGTGGGGAGTAGGGCGATAATAGTTCAGACAGGTACTGAGGTGCCAAGCCATGCAGAGCCTTATAGGTGAGCTTGAGGATTTTAAAGTCTACACGACTTTTGACTGGAAGATAAGATATAAGATAGCACCACAATGACAGACAGAATTTCACCAACAAAGAAGCAAGTGCAACAGTGCTACAGTAAGATAAGAGAGAAGATAATTAGAATACATTGTTTGAAAGAGATATTGCAGCTGGGATTAAAGATTTCCTGTAGCTATTAGCATTATACCTTGGGACACAGGGGCGTCTCCCAGACAGGAGAAGTGTGAACTCTCAGTGGAGGTGCTGAGAAACACAATCCATAATACACTTTGGTTTCTTTGCCACCCTCTCTTTGTAGAGTATATCTAAGATAATTTGATTTGCCCCAATTAATTTACAACTTAAGTTGACTATTTTATTCATTCTTTTACAATGGTACTGATGTTACCAAACCAGCAAGTGAGACAGTAAGCAAAAGAAAAAAAAGAGGGAAAAGAAATGTTTCTATTCTAAGACCTAAATGATTCCCCTGTCAGATACAACATTTTTAAGAATCTGTAATAGAAGTTTTGATTACTGAAGTACTACAGAAACAAAGAAAAAAACACACCCAACATTAAATTACTATTACTAGCACTTTGCTTATTGTAGAAAGCTTAATGTACTCTCAGTCGTAGCTCTATAGTTTATACAGGGAATGAGTTATTACAGTCTCATCTTATCTCTTAATGACTTAATTACACTTTTATTTAAGCTAATAGTTTACATAAACAATTGTTTTTGCTTTTTGAAAGATACA